AGAGATCGTAGAGGAGAGATTGTAGAGGAGAGATCGTAGAGGAGAGATTGTAGAAGAGAAGAGATTGTAGAGGAGAGATTGTAGAGAAGAGATCGTAGAAGAGAAGAGATCGTAGAGGAGAGATTGTGGAGGAGAGATTGTAGAAGAGAAGAGATTGTAGAGGGGAGATTGTGGAGGAGAGATTGTAGAGGACAAGAGATTGTAGAGGAGAGATTGTAGAGAAGAGATTGTAGAGGAGAAGAGATTGTAGAGAGATTGTAGAAGAGAGATTGTAGAGGAGAGATTGTGTATCACAATATCTCTAAATCTGATTATATATATTGTTAATCACAATATGATATTGATACTGCCCTGTATTCACTTTGTGTTTTAACATAGACTAGAAAATGCAGGCTTGCTTCCTCTTAATTAAATAGCTGGAAGTATGAAAACCGTTCAAACTGATAGAAGAGATCTTTGCAGATTACAGTGTTTAACCTTTACTCAGGATTCTGTTGTCTCTGATGACGGTCCTTTAGACCGAAAGCTCAAATAAAGATAACTCTGCAGAGTGTGAGGATTTCTCTTCTATCAGCAGAACATATACTGGAGGAACACTCAACCGCTCTGGTGGGTCAAAAACAAAAATAAGCTACATTTCAAAGCAGTGGAGCAGACTGCTATCAAAGTAGATTAGGTATAAAAATACATCAAGAACTATTTCTAGATGACATACACTATATATGTACGTTTGAGGTCAAGTGGCAGCTTTATGGTTGATTTATGAATAAAATGAAGAGGCAAACGGCATCAACTGATCTCGACTTGAGAGAAATAATGAATTGTGTACCATTTATTTACACGTCCGTCTCCTCAGATGATGAGCTTCTATCTCTGTGGTACGTCAAACCTCTGCTCTCCCTCTTTGTGCCAGGACAACGGTGCTACCGGGGGAGAAAGATGGACAGCAGCAGCTGACTCTCTCCCTCTCTCTCTCTGTGGACTGGAGGGTTGGTATCGTTTCCTTGCTGCTGGGTCCTTGGTAGCAACATTACTGCAGCTTTTTTCTTTTTAAATCTCATCTAATGTGCAAAACTGAAAAAAGTGGTCACATTTTAAAGGAGGATTTATATTGAAGGATATATCTCAAAACCAACCCCATCCATGCACGTGAAGCCAGTGCTTTACATTTAACGTTCAGACATGCTATCACAGTGTTTCAACGATTCCGGACCCGGGGAGGGGGGGGTACATGATGCTTAGTCACTGGAAAAAAATGACTGATGAGCAGTGAGACCAGAACCCGACAGCTGCAGGATCGACACCCCAAACATAAACACTAACACTGGTTAAGCTGAGCGCACCAGCACCGTAGGAAACAATGCATCTAGTGAGGTAAGAGGCCTAAAACGACCTATTGGTCAGATCACAGAATGACTCTGCAGGAACAGGATATGTTGTTGTTTACAACCCAGACAAAAACAATCATCTGCACTGACCTTTTCTAGCTCTATAAGAAGAAAGTGATGTCTTGGGTCAGTTAATGCAGGTGACCAAGAGCGAACAACTTTTGTGTGCTATTAGAAATATTAACTCCAATCACATCTTTGGGGTGATTTTAGTATCTGACACCATCACTGAAAATACACTGAGGACACACAGGTCTCATGTCCTGAACTGTGGACACATGTTTCAATGAAGTATCATAAAAGATAAGCTTGTTTTTCTGGGTATTATTTGGTGTAAGACTTGAAAGTTTTGCTTCAAACTAAAAATATCTAAACATTTGCAGACATTTCTGACTGAAAGCGATTCACAGAAAAAATATTCAAGCTCCAGCACAGACTGTTTATAAGAAGTGGACGTTGTCATTGTGACGTTTCTCGTTGGCTTGTAGACGTTTTGAAGCCTCGAGTTCGGTGATTTTGCCGTCGCCATCTTGTTTATTTTTTGCAACCAGCGAACAGGAAGTGACCACATTTGGACTGAGGAGTGACGTAGAGACGCCGTATACATCTCTGGTAGAGACCTGTC